CGGGGTCTTAGGAAGATCGTGTGTCGTGGCTACTATTTTAGGTTTTTTTCAAAGCTCTAAAATAAATCAGTCTGGGTAAAATAATCCTGGCCAAGCTCACTCCCAAATAAGTTTGCCATTATTTTCTTTGAACTAATTAATCTACAGTAATGCTTATCCAATGGATTAAGGCAGAAAACACTGTGCATTTCTAGTAGAGGCTGTTATCTATTTTAACTTAAAAATAAAGAAAATCTTGCCCCAAGTGTGCAGTAATATGCTGCTTTGTTCCTTTATGCTTAATGCCCTATGTTTGCTCTGGCAAGCAACCCGTCGACATTGCAGTCCTGTAATGTGCTGTATTGATGCTGATAGCATCTCTTTTCTCATGCTTGTTGCACCTACCTCAGTGGATCTGTAGTAGTTGCTGACTGTAGGAAAATCTCTCGTGATTAAGAAAAATTTGAGCTGCTAAGATGTTTTTCAACCACTCCATAGTTAATAGCAAAATAAATATATCACAATTTACATAGTCTGAGCAGGATTCAGTGTCTGCCAATGCTGCTTTGATAACAGACTGATTATATTGACATCGACCACATTAATCCTGATGCAGACTGAGGCGAGAACAGAGTTTATCCCCAGGTTTACTTTTATCCCAGTCAGCACAGTAATATTCAGTGAACAAGTGTAACAGATTACATAAATGTAAGAGATGCTTCCCGGGGAATTACTAGCTTCAGCTGTACAGTTAAAAAGCAATCAGTGATTATTTCTGTGAGAACTGAACCACTGTCCTTAAACCTTTAAGGAAAGCTGTAGTTTTCTCTTACAAGTGTTAAAAAAGTGCTAAAGCATGTAAATCGGGAAAAAATTGATGAAGTAGGTCATCAGTTTGTAGTCTAAAAGCAGTTCCAAGGGCTGCTTGGCTCTGCATCCATGGTTTTCTTTGCATCCCTCAAGTGTGCTCCTTAAAGACAATCACTTTACGAGGAAATGCATAGCTGGTCTTTGTCATGTCTTCTCACTGATGAAGAACCTAGGATGTTCATAGGAGCTCATGGGATGCAGTATTCCCTCCCAGACCCTGGCTGGAGGAAACAAATTTCCATCAGGCAACATCAGTGAACATTACAAGCCATGTTTAAAGATTGGAGCAGTTCTGTTTTAATATTAATCTAGTAACCTTGCCGCTAGACATTTCCAGGTAGTAGCAAACTGTGCTTTGTGTTTTACCAAAAAGCAAACTCTGCTAACAAAGCGTGAGGTAGGCCTTGAATACTGGAAGAAAGAATTGGGACCACAGTAGTCATGTCCATAGCAAAGTCATGAGTATAGTAGCTTTTTAAAGAAAGGAGAGAGGACTTCAAAACCCTAACTTACTTTTATATCTTTGCCTTAATACAAGTTTGGGCTATAAAAGTTTTAACACTGACTCCTTCTTGGCCTTTATAACTCATGATAATGAGCTCAGAGTTAATCCTGAGGGCTGACATTGAATTGACACTCTCTGCCAGTACTTGCTATTGATCCCCAAAGCAATTGAAAATTACTGTAGTCAGCAGAAGCTCTTACAGACTCTTAACTTGTTTTCCCCTGCCTATGATAATCCTGAGCTACAGTGTTGACACCAGTTATTTAATTCATTATCACAAGATACTGCTCTAGTGTTAATAGATATTACTGTGAGGTTAGCATTGCAACCAGAGGAGCTATAGTGCAATAGATGCTGCTTAATTATTGCTGAATGTTAAGTAATATCACTAAGCAGTATATTATAAAGAAGTGAAAGCAAAGCTTATGCATTCTTTCTTTTAGTGAAGGATTCATTGTTGTGTTTTTTTAACTTTAGGTTATAACGATAATAATGGTTTTGCAAAAGAAATTATTCTGGGAGATCACTGTCATTTATACCAAAAATATGGGGTTTCCTGTGGAAAGTCTAATAGCAGATCTACATTATTACAGGCAGGCAGGCAGGCAGGAAGGAAGGAAGGAGTTGTTTCAAAAAGTGGGAAAAGGGAGGAAAATTACATTAACTTTTTTTTCAGTTCTGCTGCTGCTGAGTACATAGCTGCCTTGGTGGTACTGTATTGTGATTGGAATACATGGGTGTTTAAAGGCTGTTGTATTTGCTCATAAAATATAGATGGTTTATGTAACAGGGACTGGTTTGGGGCTGGGCTATGGTGCTGGGAATTAAGAATCAGAGGTTACTCCTGTTTCTGCTTATTAAGGGAGACAAGAGAACACAGACAGATAAAGCATCCAGAGGATGAGAGGTGCAGAGTGTATTTGGTTCCATCCATCTGTAAGAAAGCATTCACCAGCCATAGACCAAACACAGGCTTTTTGCAGGTACAATTAGAAACTGTGATGTTATATGACAGAGCACCTTCCTTACTATGCAGCTTATCCTTCTCTCTGTGTTACATAGATTATTGGGTAATGTTGTCATCATTACATGCATTTCCTCTGCAGCAGCAATGAAATGAATGGAGCTGTTACAGACATCTGTGCTGATCTCTAAATGTGGCTCACAGGGTGAGGAAGTGTGCCCTTAGCATGCCAGTTCTGGTAGAACATAGATCCGGCATATAAACAACAAGAGCTTCATACAAATTCAGTATCGCCAATGAGGCTGAGGCCAGGCCAATTTATTTTAGAGCCATATGCAGCTTTCATAGCAGACTTTAAATCATGGAAGGCTCAACTGGTTTACAGTTTAGAAAAATATTTCTGCTTCACCCAGGCACAGAAGCACTGAAGCAAACTTTATAGCCTTAAATCAAAAGTGTATGAGAGGGTTTGAACAAAATCTTGGCAGCTCTGAGTTTTGCTTTGAATTTGGTATCTGAACTAGAAATTTGAAGCAAACCTCAGAGGACAGAAGTTCCCACAGATTAAAACTGAAGTAGTTTTCAGGAATCCCTGAGACACAAAACTTCTGAGAACCACAAACCTCTTTATTTTCTTTGCTGGTATTTTTTCTGTCTCATTTGAGGCCATCTGTAGTCCCTTGAAGATTTTTTTACTGAGGAAGGTCTTTCAGGATTGACTCCTAGGATCATCCCAGATTTGCAAAACATTTCTTACTGCAGCTATGCTTTTGGCAAAGGGAAGAACATCTTTAGTAATGTAATAACTGGTGAAAAATCTTCCATCTTATGATTTCTCCTTGTTTCCATCTCTGGTATTTGTGGTAAAAAACCCAGTATTTCAGCTGTTCAAAACCTCCATGAAGATGCACACTGTACATCAGTGAAACAGTGCATGTCCTGCAAAACAATTCAGGCACAAAAATTCTCCCAGTGGTAACCGATACCTTGCTGGGATTTGATCTTAGGCCATCAAGTCAGTGAAGCTGAAGCTTCTGTATTGAGTAAGCAGGACTGGGTCACTTGATCCTGCATTGAACCCAGTTAATTTTTGCTTTGTTCAGCTTCTTGTCATTTGCTGTATCTTTACATTTCATTTGCATTAGGCTGCACCAAGGTACAGGGAGCTTCTTACTCAGTTTTCTCTGACTCTGGTGTTGCTAAGCTCATCTGGACTATCCCTATGTCTGCTCAGGTTTCAGGAGAGTTTCCAGTTATGCAGCAAGGTAGCAGAGTCTAGGAAATTCTAGGAGATAAAAAGCAGCACCTAGAAAACATCTTCAATTAATTGGTAAAGATTTTCTTAACTTGCTTTCCAAAGTGAATGCAGGACTCTGTTGATACCAAAGTGACTGTTGATGCAATCTGCACCAGATGTGACACTATAGACTTTCAAAATTGTCCTGTATGAATTATAATCTGCTTCAGTAACATTTCTAGATGAATTTGAATGACATGCACCACAGAATATTCAGCTGGACTGCAGAGTGAGATGAAAGAATATTTTTACAGCTCCTAGTAATTAAATTGTGATTGTTGCAGCTGTGTGACAGACTGCATTATTTTATAAAGCATCAAAGCGTCATAAAATGAATGACAAGTGAAGGGAAAACTGTTTTGAATGAGTCATAATGGAACTAGATACTTGTCTTGTTCTGATACTCCAATTACAAAGACTTGATGTTTTAATTGGTCTTTCTACTATTTAGCCGGAGATGTCTTCAACTATTACTATGTCCTTGCTGACACCAGTTATCCTGGCGTACAAGGCACATGAAAAGCAAAACCACTTGCTTTTAGAAACAGAACTAAAATTATTTATTTTACTAACAGAACTGAAAATCAGCCCCATTTCCCTGTTGCTGGAGGGTAGACAAGTGGCTTTACACTGTCAGATGAAAAAAATAAAAATGCAGGATTCTACACAAAATATTTCTTTGTCTCATACAGGCCTGGCATGATTTGTTAGAATTATTGGCTGGAACCATCAGATGCAATCACTTTTTAATGAAGCACCATTATAGCAAGGCTCAAATTTACTACAGGAGCCAAAAAGCTGAACCTCTGCAGTAATTTCCCCCAGGTGATGGGTTTTTCTTCCATAAGCTGAAATAATTCCCTTTGCAGTGTTACTCACTGAGTCAAGAAACTGAGGCTCCTTTCAACCTTAGAGTGACCACCTCTGTTTTCTGATTATTCCCTTATCTTAAATTGACTTTTCAGAGAGGAGAGCAACTTGAAAAATGGTGGGAACCCAGTTTTCTAGGCTCCTAGCCCAATACTCTGGTCACAAGTCAGTGCCACCTAGCCCTAAGGCTGACCACTGCAATGAGTGGAGAAGGATACAAATAAAAGAAATTGCATTAGTTGGTTGCTTTTTTCCAGTTGTCAAACCTGCAGGAGTAATTTTTTATAACCTTGAGACAGCGCCTTAACCTGTGATGTATTTTCTCTGCTTTTTTATTTCCTTAAAGGGCACGTAACCATTACAAACTATTTGTTGAACTACTTTCCTGGGCTTGATATCGAGAAGAGAAACGTGTTTGGATTCACGGCGCTGATGAAATCTGCGATGCAGGGCCGAGTGGAGTGCGTGAGAGCCTTGATGCTGGCAGGTATGCAAAATGCTTTGCTGCTGCTTCGTCGTCATCTACCTGTAAATACTAGAGAGTCACACACAAACACCAAGAAGAAATATGGCTCTTGGGGTGTTCACTCTGAGAGGGGTGTTGCAGCCTTTCCTGAGAATGGGTTCAGCTTTTAAATAAGTCAGAGGGAAGGTGGTGAAGTCACATGCTGCAGGTGAAGGAGTGCTCAGTTTGCCTGTGGAAACTCATCCAGGGCCTCTCCAAGAACTCTCAGGGTGAGATTCATTATCTCAAGGAGAGTTCAGGAAGTGTGATCATCAAGATTTGTAGGCAAGGAGTTAATGAAGGTCATGACACAGCTGGGAAGCACATGCAGGTCTCTTGCTGCCAGCTCTGCAGGTGGGATGGTGCATGATGGTGGTGGAACCATAGCCAGACCACCTCTCTCTCCTATTGTGGCAGGTCCTGGGGCAGGTAGTGAAAAGCACTGGGGGCTCTCAGTCTTGTCAGGAGAGTCAGGTGTGGGGTTCATATCCCACGGGAGCATTGGTGGGAACTTGGGCCAAATAGGGAATAACCTCTCTTTCTAACCCCTCTATAGTTCCAAATTTGCTCTCCAGGTTTATGGGCAACACATCACCAGAGGGTCTGTATCTGCTGGAAGGAGGGAGTTGAGGCACAGGGAATGAGCAGGTCCATCTGTGCCCACCTGCCTCTCTTCACATATGAGAACAGGAAATACGTTTCTTGCTGTTGGCTCTCGAGTGCAGTTGATTTTCTAGCCCTGTACTTTGCAAGGTGAAAGGGTCTTGGAGAGGAAACTGGGAAGGGCAAGGGGCGTTGGGCCTCGACAGGAGCACTCCCAGCATACACCACCTTTTAGCCACAATGTTAGATATTTTTATTATATTAAGTAATTGGTATATAAACTATTAGTTAATAAGTAAATAACTAGCATAAATTAGTAAATATACTTGTATTACAGTTGTAGATCCTTGACACAAATTAAGTATTATGGAAATTATAGTTGTGAATATGTGAATATTGCTACTGTCAAAACCAAGAATCCTACAGGTCCATTTGAGAGTGATCTTGAATAAGTAGTTTATTTTAGCCATTTTACTGTCTAACCTCTCATAATCTGAATATTTTAAATTACAGGTATTAATCAAGTATAGTGATATTTCTTTCATTCGTTTTCATAATATCCAGTTTCCAGATGTTACTATGACACAGAAAATGTTTGGATGATGTGGTAGCCAGCATTCTATTTTCTGAAAGGTTCTGTAGCCTCTTATACTGGAATCAAGGCTTTGGAATTGGATAATATGTTCTGGAGTTCAAATTTTATGAAACAAAGTTATGAAATGGCAGCCAGAGCTACAGTACTTCTAGACACAGATGCACTTTCTGGAGGAACACATACTTCATGCAGAAGTTAGTTCAGAATTTTCCAGTGCCTATTATGAATTATCACTTAGAATGAAACTAGAAGAACTTCTAGCTTGTCAAACTGACCTTCCATTATGATGGCTTTCTATTGTTATCACTGGAGATGTGATGGAGGCTTGTTCTTTCTGTTCTGGTCACTAGAAGGTATTTCAGAGTCTTTCCATTTTTGTAGATAACTCAGTCCTTGTTATTCTAATTCTCGTACAAATAAGATCAATATTGAAGTTCGCAATCTGGCTGCTGCCTCTGGCACCTGAACAGCCACTTTTGTATTTTCCTGATTCCTAAGAAAACAGAATATTGGAGAAACAAACGTTTAGCCAGCCAGAAAATGGCCTAATTAGTCTCTATATCAAGTTTACCTACAGGGAATTATATCAGCCTATTTGTGCATCAGAGGTAGGGAGAATAAGAGGTGTAGAATTTGTAGAGTTAATATACTCTGAGTTTCTAAACTGCACTTTATATACATGTTTTAGTGAGTATTCTGCAGGTCTTCACATTTCCAGCTCAAAATAGGGGCCACAAAAGAAGGGTGGTAAATTACCAGGACCCATTTTAGTATCTGATTATTTTTTTGCACCGTACAGTCTGGTGAAATGTCAGGAAGGAGGGAGCTGCCCATCAGAATGGATTTAAGAGTGGTTTGAGGCTTGAGGGACACTGAGTGGCTGCTGACAATGAAGTGGTAATTTGCTGAAGAAGGTGAAAGAAATTGTTATTAAAAGATTCAGTGAAAAAATCAATTTCACAAATAAACCAGAAAAATTCTATGTTAAAACATAAGAATGCATGGAAATAGAGGGGGAAAACACCCCTATTCAGCTGTAGGTCTACTTGCATAGTCTCTGACTTTCATACAGGTACGGAACAGGTATGTATCTTTAGAAAAGAGTTAAAGCCAGGAGGTTTTTAAGCTCAATGTCTGTTTGGTGGCTTGGGTAAGACCTCTATTGACAGGCACTCACTTACAGCAATGCAGGAGGTCAGTAAAGGAAAACAGCTCACCTTCCTAACCGCCTAAGCGTGGATTTAGCACAGTCAGATGGAGAAGAGGTAAGGGCAATGTGCGACAGATGGTTGGGGCTGGATTGTCAAAGTGACTGCTCTTTCCGAAATTTGTGTTCCTGGAGGGCGGCCAAGGTCAATCACTACAAGATTAAGGGGCTCTGAGACACTTGGCTGTGACGTTTGCTCTTTCAAAGTGAGTCTTTGGAGCATGTGATTTGGCTGTCAGTGAGTGCACAGCGAGGAAGGGGGGGAGCCCAGCATGTGGCCAGCAAGCCAGACCCCCCCAGACAGTGGTGGCACAGGAACACGTGTCAAGCCCTGCTGAAATCTCCAGGGTAAACTCAATGCTGCTTTAGTACAGTTGTCAGAGTGGCTGCAGATCTGGAGACTGGGCTTTAAATGCTGTGTATAAAGCAGGTTGCTAGCAGATGCCAGAACTCTTTTCACCCCGTCTTTAATTTCAGGGTGTCAGTTTTGCATCTCAAGAAGCGTTAAACCTTCTTAATCAAATAGGACACTGATATCCCAAAGGGGCGTGTGTATGCCAACTAGTTGTGCTGAAAATGATCTTTGGGGCAACTTTTATAGGAAAATCAAGGCAAGTGGCAAATAAAGTTTTCCTAGAAGAAAACTTGTAGGCTGTACCTACACTGAAATTACAAATGGTTCAAGAAAATTGCTGTCGCATTTAAAAAAGGGACATGACTGAATGTCAAGTTTGTTCAAAAATGTCTCCTGATTTGTACAGAAAATCAATACCACTAGTAAATCACACTTTAGAAGAGATTTTGTAATACAGAGTACAAAGACAACATTGATTTCTGTTTAAAGATGAGGTTTTCAGTACTCTCTAGTATTGTTTCCTGAGTTAAAGTTTCTGAAACACCTGGGGACACATCCATCAGGCAGCAGCAGAAATGGGCTTCTCCTCAAAGGAAGGAGAACCAAGGATGTGAGCAAGGCACACAGAAGTACTGGCCTCATCAATGAAGGTGCTTCATGAAGATTGGAGCAGGACTCATGACCATGGCTAGGATTAACCATTACTGCAGGGGTTGCCAGGGAAGTCCATGGTGACAAGGCAAGACCATAGAGGCAGTAGAGGTCTGAGGTCAAATGAAGTCTGTGGTCCAGGTAGCAAATCAGCAAGGCATGGACCCAGGCACAGCACAGGCACAACTGTAGCATGGCTCAGGCAATAACCAGAGCTGAGTGTCTGAGCTTCAACACAGCCTTCAAGCAAAGGTGGGGAGTCCCCAGTGAGCACTTTCTCACACAGCTCATTTTGCACAGTTCTGATCCAAGGTCTCAGCTTGGCAGCTGCACCATATTGGAGCTGGGATGTCCTTTTTTTGAGATAATGTTGACCAGCTGCCTATACCTCTTGTTTGCTTACAAGCAGAGCATACTGTTGCTCATTAAAATTTATGGGAGACAATCAGCAGTAGGAAGTTTGGGTAGGTTAGTTCAAAACATGCTAGTGGAGCAGGAGTGGCTTTGTATGTCTTTGTTCCTCCCTTCACTGGTTTGTAGCTTCTGCAGTGATTTAACTTCTTATCACTTTCCCCATTCTCTCCTTTTTGCTCTGTTTCTCTGTAATGGCAAAACATTGTTTGTGTGGAAGGTTATACTGTAGTCAATGTAAATGGCTTCCTGATATCCTTTCCTGATATCTTGTTTCCCTAATTGATAGCTTGATAGTTTGAAATGCTGTTACCAAGATAATCCACCTGGAAAAAAATAATTTCTCTTTGTGTTCTCTTGGCTTTTCCTCAGGTCTCAGGCTCTGCACATTTCCATCTTCCATAGCAATGGGACAAAATTGTTTTTTCTTTTTTTTCTGTCAGGTGATGTTTAGATTAGGTATTAGAAGAAACTTCTTCACTGAAAGGGTGATTAAACACTGGAAAAGGCTGTCCAGGTTGAATCACCATCCCTGGAGGTGTCTAAAAACCATACAGATGAGGTACTTAGGAATACAGTTTAGCACTGGACTCGGTAGGGTTAGGTTAATGGTTGGTAGAGTTAGGTTATGGTTAGACTCGATGATCTTAAAGGTCTTTTTCAATCAGAATGATTCTGTGATTCTTTTGAGGCAAGATCTGTGTAGGTCAGTTGTGTGTTGGTGTTTCAAAAATAGTGCTTCTGCTAATAGGAGAAACCCATAAAGAATTCAAATGTTGTATCCTGTTCCCTTCAATTTTCGGGTTGCCAGGGAATGTGGTAGCACTGGATAGAGCACTGCAGCAGTTGCAAAGATATAGCAGAGAGGATTAGAATGCTTGCACCTCCTGTTACCCTTGCATCCCCTCTTCAGACAGCCAGGTGCCCTGGAGGAGAACAGCATTAATCCTACTTGAAAAAAAAAAAAAAAAAAAAGAGAGAAGAACAAGAGCAGAAGCCCATGTGAAGGGGCTTATAGGAACACACAGAGATCAAAAGAAATGTAAAGCTGGAAAAATATGTAGAAATATATTTAAAGAAAGAATGACAACGGGGAAAAGTGTGAGAATTGGATGGATAAAAATCATAAATTGGGATGGGGGCAGTACAGGCCAAAAGGTAATACGCACTATGAATTATTTCTGTCCAGGACCTAATGCTTCAAATGCCTAAGCATCTGCTGTCTAGCATGTGTCCCAGTTGCCTCTTGTGGCTGGTCCAGTTGGTGATAATAGCATGTTTTTGCTAATGATAACTTAATTTCCTCAGAGGTGATAATCTAAGGTAGATGAGAACAGTTGTTCTGGGCTCAGACTGAAGGTCCGTCTCATTCATTATGCACTCTCTGACATGTATGGAAACTTTATATTTGGTCACTCTTATAACCATCCTCTCAACTTTCCCTAATGTACATTCAGAGATAAGAGAACCTGAATTGGACACGTGGTGTTTTCTGTTTTTTCCTTTTTCACTGAAATTTTTTCTCTATTTAAAAAATGCTTTTTTAGAAATTCCTCACATTTTATTTGCTATTTTAGCCTCTAATGTGCACCGAGCTGATATTTTCATGGAACTTGTGATCCCAAGATACCTATTCTGAGTGGCAGCGACCAGTGCAAAGCCCATTATTCTGTATGGGAAGGATTTCTGCATACAGAATCGTTTCTTTCTGTATTTGTCTTTTCTGACAAGCCTGTGGGAATGGATTTTTAAATGGCAGGTAACATTCAATGCAGTTGAAATTCATTATGTCATTCTTTGCATGGTTTTAAGTGAATTTAATATATACAGCCTTAACTTCTTTTATTATATATTTTTTTTAATAAACCAGAAGTTCAGAAAGTCAGGAGCCCTGATCACAGAATCACAGAATCCTAGGGGTTGGAAGGGACCTCAAAAGATCATCTAGTCCAACCACCCTGCCAGAGCAGGGTCACCCAGAGCACATCACACAGGAACGTGTGCAGGTGGGCTTTGAACGTCTCCAGTGAAGGAGACTCCACAGCCTCTCTGGGCAGCCTGTTCCAGTGCTCTGTCACTCTCACAGGAAAGAAGATTTTTCTGATGTTTATGTGGAACCTTCTATGCTCCAGTTTGCACCCACTGCCCCTTGTCTTATCACTAGACATCACTGAAAAAAGCCTGGGTCTGTCCTCCAGACACTCGCCCTTTACATATTTGTAACCATTGATGAGGTCACCCCTCAGTCTCCTCTTCTCCAAGCTAAAGAGACCCAGCTCCCTCAGCCTTTTCTCATAAGGGAGATGTTCCACTCCCTTAATAATTTTTGTGGCTTTGCGCTGGACTCTTTCAAGCAATTCCCTGTCCTTCTTGAACTGAGGGGCCCAGAACTGGACACAGTACTCCAGATGAGGCCTCACCAAGGCAGAATAGAGGGGGAGGAGAACCTGCCTTGACCTACTAACCACACCCTTTCTAATGCACCTCAGGATGCCATTGGCCTTCTTGGCCACAAGGGCACATTGCTGGCTCATGGTCATCCTCCTGTCTACCAGGACCCCCAGGTCCCTTTCTCCTACACTGCTCTCCAGCAGGTCAGCCCCCAACCTGTACTGGTACATGGGGTTGTTCTTCCCCAGATGCAAAACTCTACACTTGCCCTTGTTGAATTTCATCATGTTTCTCCCTGCCCAACTCTCTAGCCTGTCTAGGTCTCTCTGAATGGCAGCACAGCCTTCTGGTGTGTCAGCCACTCCTCCCAGTTTAGTGTCACCAGCAAACTCACTGACGGCACACTCTGTTCCCTCATCCAGGTCATTGATGAAAATATTGAATAGTACTGGTCCCAGTACTGACCCCTGAGGGACTCCTCTAGTCACAGACCTCCAACTAGATTTGTCCCATTGATTCCTTTTAATCTCTCTTTATTGCATGTTCCTTTTGACAAAAATATTATAGCGTGTCATATGTGAGGTTTTCTTGCAGGGGCCTGCCTAATTCAACTCTGATCACAGCAACAAAAGTGTGGGCATTTTCATTAATTAACAGTAATTTTTTTTCTTTTCTTTGAGGGGCAAATGTTCACGCAACTGACCCAAGCCGTGGACTGACTTCATGGGAATGGGCTTGTTTCACAGGAAGGTCAGAATCTGCCTTCATCATGCAGAAACTGATGGACAATCCATGCCCAGAACAGTTTTGTGATCAATATAAACCAGAATGGCCAAAGATGAAGGAACTTCTTGCCAAGGCTGCGGAGCCAAAAAGCTGTTTGCAGAGGGTGTCTGAGTGTGTGAGGGCCGCTATGCCGTTCCAGCCTTTCTTCGGCCCAGAAAAAGACGGGGTCCTCGATCACATGGTGAAGGTGACAACGAGCTTGAGCAGCCCCTTCATTGCCCTGGCATGCCGGACAGTTTGCCCAGGCAGCCCGCCTTCTGTGGGGAAACGCAGGCTGGCTGTGCAAGAAATCCTCAGGAAGCAGAGAGCCGAGGAGATCCGATCTCAGGACAAAGACCACTTGAGCAGCTATGAGAAGCTCTTTCAGAACTCCAGAGTCATGCTGGTGCCCAGGAAGAAGGAGCGGCGAGCCAGCCTGCAGCCCATCAGCCTGGCGGTCTCCCAGGTGAGCACGGTGGCCACGCGGAAAGCGAGCCTCCTGCCACTCCACCTGCTCCGACGGAGCAGCGTCAGGCCAGGGTTTGTCATCCCCAAAGTCCGTGTCAGCAAGGCTCCTCCACCCACCTTCCAGCCAGAAAAGGCGAGGAGGAGGAGCAGCGCAAAGGATGACCCCTACTTGCAGATTCCCAAGTGGAGGTACAAGGAGATTAAAGAGGAGCGGAAGAAGGCGGAAGAACAGGAGAAGAAAAAAGCAGCAGAGGCTCAAAAACAGAAGCAGGTGTCTCCCGCCAGATCCAGGACCTGATTTAAAGGCAGTTGCTTGAAGGTTTCTGAGCCGTCTTGTTATCTGAGCAGGATAACAGACTGCACGCCCTCGTGTGTGTCCGCTGCTCCCAGAGCTGGAATACTGAGTAACAGCCTTCAAGGTGCAGAAGTAGGGCAAGGGCTATGCCACGGTGTGTCTGGTGGTGGAGCAGGAAGATATTTTGAGGTGGAAGACTTAGTAAGTTTACCTGTCTGCTGTTGACAGGAAGCTTTAAGTGGTGCAGTCCTTCTACAGTTTGCTTTTTTCCAGTTCCTGGTGAATGACTGAGGAACAGCTTGAAAAATAACATGTGTGTGTTGTTCATTTTGTAATGGACAAAATTAGGGACCTGTGCTTTTAACAATTGACATTCCTCCCTCTCCTTGCCTAGGTAGATATATTACAGGGTTTTATAGTAATAATGAAAAGTTTAAAATCTACACAGCATTGGTGGGCAGTGAAAATGCAAGTCTACAATAATTTTTAATATACTAAGCACTTTAATTCCAGTAATGAGAATTTAAGACAGGTATTAAACTGTACATCTCTATATACAATATACAGAGCTGTAAAGTTGTATATATATATATTTATATATATATACAATCTGTATGGATGCAGTTCCTAATGCTGTTTGTCTTGTTGAATATAAAAAGAGCTGCATATGAAATATTTCTGTAGTTGAGGTATTCATATCCTCTGCAGGTGTAAATCAGGGGCAGGATTTCTTTGGAGCAACAGAGAAGATGAGCTACTTTTTCAATGCCACTGTCATCTAAGATTTGCCTCCCCCATTAAGTTTCACTGTATCTGCTGTTGTCTCCTCTTTAGTCTCAGGGAATTTTTGTCATTGTGTTAAGCTATGAAATAAGGAAGATGGCAAGCCACTGGTGGGCTTTTTTTTGAGGTTGATATTTAAGTTTCTGTAAATAAACCCCACAGGGTTTACTGTGAGCCTTTCCATATTATAGCCAGGACAGGATAAACATGCAGCTTCCAGAAGTTCAAGCAGTTTTCCCAGGTCTCGAGCCCAGCCATATGCTATGAACATCCAGTCAGAGATCCAGCATCAGGCAGCTCGGCCACTGACATTTGGCAGCCATGGCCACGTGTCATTGTGTAGTATGGCCCTGGGTGCCTGGATGGGGCAGGACTTCATGCCTCTAGTGCAGCGCTGGGAGACAACGTTCCCTAGCAGAGGGAGTTGCCACAGGTTGCTGCAGGGTTGTGTGGTCCACGTGCAGGCTTCATTTGGTTTCATCAGCAGTCAGTCTGAATGGCATGCCAAACCCTGGCTGTAAACCTGCTGCTTGCTGAAGACCATATGAAAAAAAGTAGAGGTCAAGTGCAAACAACAAGCCATACAGCACGTGCTCAGGCTGTGGTTTTGCTCAGGATTTGCTCCCCTTTGAAATGAAATGTGCTGTGGTGTGCTCTCCTGAGGGTGTTGCTCTGCGGGAGCCCAGGCAGACCCCGCTGCTGCTGTCATCACCTTCTCCCTTCAGTCAAAGAGAAGCAAAACTTTTCCATCCTTTGGTCTCACAGCACAAGGACTGGCCACCATCTCACTGAACTTGTAATGAAACCCATGTGTGCCATGGGAGAAATAAATTCAGTTGATTGAAAACCAGCACCCAGATTGGTATTGCTAGCTAATGGCTGCAGGGTCAGAGCTTGACAGAGGTTAGGGCAGGCATGTGAATTAAGGATTTTCTACGCAGCCTGTTCTTTGTGCCTCTTGCTGGAGTAGCTGTGTTGGCTGGACTGCATTGCCAGGTAGCTCCCCAGGTCAGAGTTGAAAGAATATGCATCTTGCTAATAAATCCCCCCAGCCCTGTGAATTTGAAGAGGACTTTAGTCCTGCAAGTGCATCAATGCTGTACAGTTCATAAGCACCAATTTCGAGATGGATTTGGTGTGAACAGAGCTGAAGCTGAACTCATTTCTGTGGAGAGTAGGAAGGGAGTCTTTTAGCTGTTTGTGGCAAAGTTATCAGGACAGATTTTGAATTGGTACACTGGATTGAATGGTTTAGCTTTAAATTTTTGTTTACTGCCAGACTAGCATAACAAAGATTTAGCATTCAGATTCAGTATCTGAAAAGCAACCTGTGCTGCAGGTGAACGCTTGAATTTGCACTCTCAGTATCACTTGCAGGAGACATACAAGTGACGGGCTCTCAGGGATTAACATACAGTATGTTAGAATAAGGGGCTGACAATTAAGCCTGTTTTCTAACCCTTTGTACTTTACTGTGTATATGTATAAAAATATGTTAAATTTCCATTAAAAGAGGCATAAGCTGTTTAACTTTTTTTGGCAGTCTTAGTCTTCAAAGTGATTTGAGGATGTTGCTTTTCAGTAGATCAAAAAGCCACCCACTTTCACCAGTTGACTGACCAGCACCATCTGAAAGCAGTTTGGTTCCCCTGGAAGGAGATTTTGTGCATTAACTTCCCCTCTTCATGATTTTTTCCTGAATAAAAGAAACCACTACATTTTCCTGACATGGGGCTTTGGCCAGCCATCTTGGTGCAGAGAGAAGCCATTGCTTTGATGACCCACAGCCACGCTGCCCTGCTGTGAGCAGCCAGTCCCCCAGCATCCCGGCAGGAAGCGTGGCTGCATTGTGTGCATCTGTGTAAAGACTGGCACTTTGCTAAAGTGGGAAGTGCAGGCACAGATCTCTGCCTCGTCATTGCCTTCCTCCCTTGCTGCCCTACTGCACACTCTCGCCATCTTACTCCTCCCCTTCATCACTTAGTGCTGTGTCTCTTGTCTTTATTTAATGGTCTGAAGGTTCTGAAGGTTACAGTGGGCAAAGTTCCCGCAAAACACACTTCTGGAAACCTGTGGCAAATGGACCATAACAGGAAAGGAAGGCACACCTGGCTCTCTTCCAGCCCTTTGTCCTCCTTGGGCTACAGCTGCTGAGGAGGATTTGATTCCTGTTGGATTTCAACACAAATAGAGTGGTTTATTTTATATTGTGTTGTTCCTTTTTTTTTCCCCAAGAGACCTGTAACTGTGAAACGCCAAGTGATACCAGCTGTGCTTCAGATCACTCCTGGTCACTCAAGCAGGAGTGTTCACCTCCTAAGAAATGCGTGCGAGCCTTTGGCAGCACCTCCTGGCAGCTGGAGCTCCTGAGGGAATGCAGAGGCACTGCTGTAGGTGGAAGAAGGTTTTCTATCTGCCTTTGATGCCAGGCTGCAGCCTGGCATGTTTGTGGGAACAATGCTCCTGAGAATTGGGAGTGAAACTGGAGCGTGGGCTGTGCCTGCCACCATGGCCATTGCTTGTCTTGGCACACCAGGAGCTTTGGTGTGTGACAGCCAGTCCCTCCCTCACTGGGAGGCACCTCATGGGTGCAGCCTGATGGGGCAACTTACTTCTGCAGCAAGTAAGGATTTACTGTAATGATGGTGGAAAGTGAAATCCCAGGCAATGATGTCACAAAGAAAATACCAATGACACTAAGCTGGGAGGAGTGGCTGACACACCAGAAGGCTGTGCTGCCATTCAGAGAGACTTAGATAGGCTGGAGAGTTGGGCGGGGAGAAACATGATGAAATTCAACAAGGGGAAGTGTAGAGTTTTGCATCTGGGGAAGAACAACACCATGTCCCAGTACAGGTTGGGGGCTGACCTGCTGGAGAGTAGTGTAGGTGAAAGAGACCTGGGGGTCCTGGTAGACAGGAGGATGACCATGAGCCAGCAATGTGCCCTTGTGGCCAAGAAGGCCAATGGCATCCTGGGGTGCATTAGAAAGGGTGTGGTTAGTAGGTCAAGAGAGGTTCTCCTCCCCCTCTATTCTGCCTTGGTGAGGCCTCATCTGGAGTATTGTGTCCAGTTCTGGGCCCCTCAGTCCAAGAAGGACAGGGAACTGCTCGAAAGAGTCCAGCGCAGAGCTAC